ATGTAACATTAAGGTTACGATACTCATATCAATATTTACTCTGGAGACGTTAAATGAAAAAGAAATAAAAACACGAATACGATTCAGAAGAAAGCAAAGAGATATGTGTAGTCAGTTTTTAAGTTGGAATCTCAACTTCTTGATACCACTAAAAATACCATTTGACATTGTAAAATTTAAATTTAATTACTCTTGAACCTTGCTTAATTTTTACTTAATTGGTTATAACTTAAAAAATAGACATCTCTTATATACTAAAACGCAAATCACATGACGAATCAGAATTTGACATGTCGCATTGTTTATAATTTTCTTTTTTAAAAAAGTAAATGCAGAAAAAAGAAGTAAACACACAATTTAATTGTTAACTGATTCTATTTCTTTCGGATGTAAATTAAAATCCCTAATTTTATCACCTTACACCATAAATTCAAATTCTTCTCTACTTGCATTTTGTAAAATTATTTGCAATGGCTCCACTGATTCTCTTTTTCGGAAAGTCTGGTAAAATTTCAATTTTAACCAAATCGATCAATGACTTCTGAGTTCTAACGATCGCATCAACACTTTCGAGTTGGCAATTCTATATCTTGCTAAACAGTTGCACATCAATAGTCTTTGAGAGAATTTTTTTTATTGAAGAAGATAAAAGAAAAGCACAAATATTCTGTGGCAAAGGTTCGTGCAAAGGTTGACAGATGAAAGCTAGAAAAAAAAAAAAGAAAAAAGACAGATGAAAGCTAGATTCCTGGTTAGTGAAATTCAAAACGTCCCGACTCTTTAGGATTTAAATCATAATTTTCTTCATTTTCTTTATGAACATTTTACCTTCTCTGGCCTACTTGTATTGTTTTCTTTGTTTTGTTCATCTTGATAGTCGTAAATCGATGTACTTTTATGCAGTAGAAGGTAAACTACTAAATTACGTCAATTGTGTTTTAAAATGGATTAAGTTAGTTTTCAATTTGCTGGAACATGATTATTTGTTGTGGTGGTGGTAATTCAAGTAAAGAAAGTAAGAAGCTCACCAGAAAGCACATTTACAAGACATAGCTCAATTTGAGAAGCACCACAAGAAAAAAGAAAATGTGGTAACAAGAAGAAGGTAAATTAAAAATCAAAACGTTAGAAAAAAAAAAAAGGGTAAAAAGTGGGGGTGTAAGAAATTCGGGTGGTAGAAAAAAACGAGAAGGTATCATGTCTACTTTTATATCAAAGGCCTAACTTCAGGTTGGTCTTTCTTAGTTTTATATCTCTATAATATTATTTGAGAAGTCAGTTTCCTATGTGTGGCTCTTACGTTCACTCTCACGATGGTTGATTACACTGATACCCTTAATGAATTAAAATAGTTAAAATATTATTATTAATTCTTTTATTTATTTTCCTTTTCAAAATTTCCAAAAATATATGTAATAAAAAGGAAATTAGTTATAAAGTCATAAAAACAAATTTAAAACGAAAAAGATATGTATATATAATATGATTTCATAAAAAAAAAAGGAAAGTTCACAAAATAGCAATAATACATTTAAAAATAGTTTTTAAATAACATCAAAATACACTTTTAGAGTAATTAAAATAGTTTATAATTAGTATTATTGAATTTTTTTATTTATTGTTCATATATTTAGTTGACTATAATATCTTTCAATTGCAGAAAATTTTCTATAAATTATATTTCACTTACATAATATACTTTCAAATACAATCACAATTTTGTGTAGTGCTTATTTTTAAGAGATATTAAAACCTAATAATAAATTTAACAATAAACATCGTTTGATCAAATAATTAACAAGTGGTTTAATGAGCTAGATATATGATATTTTATCATTATTAAAATTATATGCTTTCTTAATATTAAATTTTCTTTTACATTTTATGTTTTTATGTTTGTGAAACTAAATATAACCATAATCAAAATATCAAAGGAAATATGAATTCCCAATTTTAAGATTATTTAAAATAAATTTCAGTTTACATTCAATAAATTTAAAGCGTAAAGTTACTTAGAATTTATAGATATATTGATTATTGTAAATATTGATATGTGTTCATGAGCTTCTAAAAATGTATCAACTAATTATGCATATAACCTTCTATTGATCATAGGATAACTCAAAAAAATTAACAAATGAAAATAAATATTAACCAACTCTTACAATTTTAGTTCTTTTGTAAATATATATATATATATATATGAGACTGTCGAATATTATCGTTATATTAATTTACGTATTTTGGAATTAGACACTTTAGTTAATTTTTAATTCATTCTAAGCCCAATAAATCTTAAGTAATGTATAATTTTCCTAAAATATATTTATATATCTAAGAGAACACCCACTATATGCAAATAAATAATTAATTAAAAATTAATATATTTTAAGATATTATAGTTGAATTCATGCAATCTAATTTATTCAATGTTAACTAAATTAACCGTAAAAATAATAAGATCGACTAAATCTAACATATAAAAAATTATAGTATAATTAAAGTAATATAATTATATTAATATAAATGATTCATAAAAATTATAAATTAATTTAAAATTAAAACTAAATAGTAATAAATTATTATCATATATTTACTTATAAAATATTTATACCCGTGCATGAGCACGGGAAAATCACCTAGTGTTCTTATATTATTGCGGATTACAAATCATATTTGTAGCTTTTCTTTATAAACAAAAACTAAAGTAAATACATCACTGAAAATGGAAAAAGTAAGAAAAAAGTAAAAAGTAAGATGAAAAATATAAATAAGAGCAAAAATACGTCAATTATCTACAAAAGTAAAGTTAATATTTTAATTGTACTTGTGCAGATATATGCTTTCTCCCAGTTTTCATATTTTAATGATTTTCCATTAAGTAATCAATATTATACATGCATTTTGGATCCCATATGGGATTATTATAATAAACATCATCTTTTAAAAAAAAAGTCTACTAATAAATCTCAAAATATTAGGTAAAAGGAAATCTCTAAATAACATTAATTTCATTATACTTAAAAAAAAATATATATACAAATAGTAGTGTCCGTGCTATGCACGGAATATAATACTAGTAACAAACTAAATCATGATCACTACGGACTGATGATTGATATATCTACTCTATTAAAATAGAGTCATTCTTTTTATTTATTGATATAAGTTGTCATTTAAATTTGGACACTTTCTACAATGTTACAAATAATACAAGTCATATAGTTGATTAAACCGCATTACTTAAATTAAATCGGCAGTTATTTATGGAATAGAGTTTTGCGCTTACTTTTATTTTTATGACAAATTATATAGTTTGAGTTTGGGCTTAGTATTAAAGAAAAACTCCAAAACATTGAATAAATGTTCTACCTTAATGGATCAAAAAATCAATTACTATTTTAAGGCCCAAAAGTATTTAATATTTTAACAAAACAAAATTACATATTATTAATCACTTATTTAAATTATGTACTTTAAAACATATTAATATGTTTTTTATTTTAAATAACAATCACTCTGGATCAAAAAATGAATTACTATTTTAAGACCCAAAAGTATTTAATATTTTAACAAAACAAAATTATATATTATTAATCACTTATTTATATCATGTACTTTAAAACATGTTAATATTTTTTTTTAAATAACAATCACTCTATCTTGATAAATTTCAATGGTAACTTTTATAATAGTTTTTTTTTTCTTAAATAATTTACTGATTTAAAAAAAAAAAATATAAAGCAAAACTAAAAACCAAATCTAAGAATTAAAATCCAAAACTAAAAGCTAAATACGCATGTTATATTTTTTGCTTTTGTTTTGTTTATTTACAAAATAAACTATTGCAATTTTTTAAATAAAAATTGTCATCTTTTCAGTTTTAAATTAGATGTACGATTCTTTGGGATTTGTTTGTTTGTAATTATTAGTTCAAACTAACTCAGCGGATCTAAAAACTAAAAACTCAAACCAAAAGCTGAAAATCAAAACTAGAAACTTAAAAATTAAAAACTTAAAACCAACATCTAAAACCAAATCTAAAAATAAAAACTGAAACTAAAAACTAAAAACTAATGCAAGACAATCATATCACCACAAATTTTGGATTACTGATTTTATACCAAAACATACTTTAAATAAAGACAAAACCTAATTATATAAATTTTTAATCAAAAAAATTTCCGCGCTTTCAAACGCGGGTCAAAATCTAGTTATTATTAGTTAAAAAGTGTGGCATATATATGAATGTTTTACTAACTAAAGGGTTAGTTTTACGAAAATGACTAGAATAGTATTAAAAAAGTTTTTAACATAAATATAGCACTTAAAAATAAAAATGATCAAAATAACATTTAATATTTTATCAAAAGAGATAAATATACACATATATCTGAATGATAAATTAATTTAAACATTAGGGTTTAGAGTTAAGGGGTGGGATTTAGGGTTTAGGGTTTAGAGTTTAGGATTTAGGGTTTAGGATTTAGGTTTTAGGGTTTAGAGTTGAAGAGTGGGGTTTTGGAGATAAGATTTCAATTTTTGAAAAATAAAAAAAATTTTAAAATTTTCAAAAGATAAAATACTATTTTGGTCATTTTAATTTTTTAGTGATATTTTTGTGACATAAACTTAGAAATGTGCTATTTTGGAGATTTACCCCTCTCGAAATGTTAGTCTATTTTGTTGTAGTTTTTTCCCTCTTTCTAAGGTTTCTTTAAAATACAGGAAGATGAATGTGTTACACATATAATAATTAATAGAGCATTAAAGCTTGATCGTACTTTATTTTACACAACATGCTAGTACATGAAGAGAAAGAAGAAAGAAAAAATTGAGTGAAATTTTGTGGTCCAACAACTTAAGCACCTTAAGATCCTTCCCCCACTTTGTTTCTGGGGTCCTTTACTTCTCTTCCAGCGTTTACTTTCACATCTTCTTCTCCTCTTGTTATATACTCATGTGAGACAGAGAAAGAGAGTTATACTTTGAAGATAAGTATGAGAAGAAGCAACGCAGAAGGGAAGCGGAGTTTAATAGAAATGAGTGAGGAAGAGGAGCAAGAAGAAGATGATAATGATACTTTTGTTGAAGAAGAAGAAGAAGAGGAGGCTTCGGAGAAGAAGCAGAAAGGCAAAGCTACAAGTAGTAGCACCAGTAGTGGAGTTTGTTGTCAGGTGGAGAGATGTACTGCGGATATGAGCAGAGCCAAACAGTACCACAAACGACACAAAGTCTGCGAGTTTCATGCCAAAGCTCCTGTTGTTCGGATCTCTGGTGGTTACCAACGTTTCTGCCAACAATGTAGCAGGTAACATCTCTCATAACAACCAAAAACAAGAAAACGAATGATGAGACATTTTAACTTTGGTTTTTACAAGGTTTCACGAGCTCCGTGAGTTTGATGAAGCCAAGCGGAGTTGCAGGAGACGCTTAGCTGGACACAATGAGAGGAGGCGGAAGAGCACAACTGAATAAAACAAGGATGATTCTGAAGGTTAATGAAACAGGCTTTGCTTGCTCTCTTCTGTCAAGTCTCTTTAAGCTTCTAGTAATCTTTTATGTCCCTCTCTCTCTGTTTCTTAATACTGCCTACAATCAAAAGCTATCTGCTAAACCTAAGACATCAATAAATGCATTGAGACTAAGTAAATGCTCGAAGGAACAGGTCACATGTGCAAGTCCCTTTTGAACTTAAGAAGATGTTTATTTCAAGCCAATTATCTTAAACTAAAGCAGGAATATGTATATGTTTTGTATTCAACAATGAAAACACAGCCAAATAATTAACAATGTGGGAGAAACTTTTCATTCTTGAGATCTGTGTTCTGTTACAAGAAAGCTCATCAAATGTATTAGGTTCTAAAACTAATCCTAGTCACGTTTATTTCCCCAACATTTTCATTGAGAACTCCCCAAGCAACGATTGCTGCTGCATTAGCAGGGAATGCTCTGACTATGGTTGGACCCAAACCTGCATTACCTCCCTTGAGTCCAGCCCTCTTGTGAATCTGCATAGATGATTTCAAAAACGTCGAAAAACACACTATTTTATTAGTATCAGTGAATGTTTAGATTCAAAGAGGAAATGCAAAACCAAGATGTCTCACAAACCGATCTCAACACTTTCAAAGGATTTGTCTCAGTAGCTTTTGAAGATGCAATTGGAGCTTGTAGATGTCAATGGTCTTCCGTGACTAACTAGGCGACGAAGTCACTGATGCTGGAGGCATTAGTCGTTACTACATAAGGCATACGGAGTGGTGGGTTACCATGTGGATGCAAGATATGCTGAGATGGAGAAGGATAAACTAGAGGTTTATGTCTTGACATAGTCGTTGAAGTAGTTGCTGATGCAGCGTGTGTCAGAGAATGAACCAGGAGGCATGCGGAGTGGTAGAGACCATGTGGATGCAAGATGCTGAACTGGCGTGGGATAAACTTGAGAAGCAAGTTTATACCATGGAGAAAAAGCAAGAGATAAACTTGAGGAGCAAGTTTATGCCTTGAGGAATAAGTACAAATCCAAGAAAAGGAAAGTGTACTTATTAATATGGAAGTTATCCATATATCCATATTGCCTTGGAGACTAGGGTTTCAGGAACGTGGAGATCACTATAAAAGAGCTATGGAGTCGTGTGTATTCCATAAGACACTAGGGTTATTATTATGGAGTCGTGTGTATTCCATAAGACACTAGGGTTATTATTATAGAGGAAGGGTGAAAATCCCTTAGGGTGTTCTTGGGCCATGCTGAAGCATACAACGATGGAGAGACAAGTTTAGAAAGATTATGAATCTTTCAGTAGCAGCTGTTAGGGTGTTAACAGGCTGTGTAAAGCTGATAAGCAAATCTTGTAATACATTGTTTAAAGATGATTTCTAATAAAGCAAAGGTGTTGTTTGTATCTATTTTGTCTCTTGATTTATCTTCTGCAGTACTTAATTGTGGTGTCATCTTTGCACTTACAATTGGTATCAGAGCGGGTCACCTAAGCTACTGGTGTGATCTTGAAGGTGAAGATGTACACGGTTGTTTGCAGAAGACAATCATGTTGGTTGATGACCAGTTTGGTCATGAGAATACGCGCATGAAGTTATTGGTTCGAGGAATCAATGAGGGTGCGTGGATAGCTGTGAAGACTGTGTGGGAGGAGCCCTTGGTGGTCACAACAGAGGGGAATAATTCCAAGTCGAAGGATCCAAGACAAGGCAAGGAGTTGTTCGAGAAGTAGTTCGGCGGATGCGTCAGAGGCTGATGCAGTACACATGAAGGAGCAGACGGTGTGTCTGTGAAAAAAGGCTTGACATCTAAGCATCTATGTTTTAGCTTAGTATGCAATCAAGTAGGGGGAGAAGTGATGACGTTCTGGTCCAAAGAGTGCATATCTCGTCGGGGAGAAGAGCATGGTGATGGATGTCCTGATGTAGATGGTGCATATCTCGTGGGGGAGAAGAGCATATCTCTGTGTGAAGATGAAGATAGTGCAAGTCTTGTGGGAGAGAATGACATATCGAATGTGGAAGTTTCCAGGTGAGGAAACGTGGTTGTTGAACCAGAAGAGTAATGTGCTTGATTGACACACAAAGCTAAAAGGGGGAGACTGAAGATGCAATTGGAGCTTGTAGATGTCAATGGTCTTCCGTGACTAACTAGGCAACGAAGTCACTGATGCTGGAGGCATTAGTCGTTACTACATAAGGCATGCGGAGTGGTGGGTTACCATGTGGATGCAAGATATGTTGAGATGGAGAAGGATAAACTAGAGGTTTATGTCTTGACGTAGTCGTTGAAGTAGTTGCTGATGCAGCGTGTGTCAGAGAGTGAACCAGGAGGCATACGGAGTGGTAGAGACCATGTGGATGCAATATGCTGAGCTGACGTGGGATAAACTTGAGGAGCAAGTTTATACCGTGGAGAAAAGTCAAGAGATAAACTTGAGGAGCAAGTTTATGCCTTGAGGAATAAGTACAAATCCAAGAAAAGGAAAGTGTACTTATTAATATGGAAGTAATCCATATATCCATATTGCCTTGGAGACTAGGGTTTCAGGAAGGTGGAGATCACTATAAAAGAGCTATGGAGTCATGTGTATTCCATAAGACACTAGGGCTATTATTATAGAGGAAGGGTGAAAATCCCTTAGGGTGTTCTTGGGTCGTGTTGAAGCAGATGCTGAAGCATACGACGATGGAGAGACAAGTTTAGAAAGATTAGTAATCTTTCAGTAACAGCTGTCAGGGTGTTAATAGGCTGTGTAAAGCTGATAAAAAAATCTTGTAATAGATTGTTTAAAGATGACTTCTAATAAAGCAAATGTGTTGATTGTGTCTATTTTGTCTCTTGATTTATCTTCTGCAATATTTAATTGTGGTGTCATCTTTGCACTTACAACTTTGTCCGGAGAAGTCTGGATAATGGTTTTTGCTACATCAAGAGGCAAAACAGCTGACCAGCGCATTGTACCATGGAAACAATAGTAAGATTCCAATAAGGTCAATAGCAACATTTTCTAGGGTGAATTTGTTAAAAATCCTATAAGAATTACATAATTAGCAAAATTCACAATGCAAAAAATTGTGGGGATGAGATTTATGTAGCAATTACCAAAGTAACCTTCTGACCTTTTGTTTTCGAAAAAGTAGAGTAGGCCGTTTATAGTTTCTTTCCTACGAACGTTTTAATTTTAATTGGGGGGTTAGTAATAATTGAACTTTTCCCCACCTCTTTTACATATGTATGTTTGTGTATCAAGAACCAGTAGAAACTCAGAAAAATCTGACACAGTAGATGCATGGCCAGAAAGATAAAAAAAAATAATATTGGGTTGCATGTGAAAAGTTAGATTTCTGGGGGAGGGTTTCGAAAAGAGACTAATGTATTTTGTGTAAATGCTCATAATTTATGCTTGCAAGGTAAGCTTTAACTGAACCATCATGATCTTTGAGCAACAAGCTACGTATATACTAGAATCAGAGGAGCATATGTGAACTTCTTTGGACAGTGGATATGAGCTGTGTTGGTCGCAAAATTAGTGCTTGTTCTTAATGATTCTTTAAGAGCAAACACTATCAACATATCTAATATTAACTGCTAGAATGTTATATAATTAATAGTCTAAAAATTCAATGTTAGGCTGCTAACAATTTTAATAGCATCTAACCATTTAGATATTCATGTATCTCTCACTATTATTATGGTATTGTTAACATGTTTTGCGACATTGTTAATTAGCTTGTTAACATATATAGTAACATATAAAAATGTCCTCTAATTTTATACCATTTCAAAATAACAGCTAATAAAATAATTAGTTGTACTTACAAATTCTTATCCGGCTAACATTTTTTTAAACTAGAAGTTGTTGCAAATTATTAGAAAGCTAATATCATGTTTAGCCGAATACATAAACGTTTTAAATCCAATCATCAAGAAAACCAATATATTATTCTTAGATGAATATAAAAAGATTTATCCGGTCAATAATTGTAAGTGCACTTCTAGAACAGTTTTGTATCTTTCTGTTGTCAATTATTATTATTAGTTTTAGCTGAACATAAAAAGGTTTACCCATGCAATATTTTTTGATATTTGTGTGTCGATTTGTTGACAAGCTAATATTATACTTACTGGAACAAATAAAGTTTTGTCCAGGACTTCCAATTATTTAATGAACCAACTTGTTATGTTGAGTTAACTCAAATCAAACTCACCTACTCAACTCGGTAAAACAATCTGAACCAAATCCACCATTTTTATGAAGTATAGTTTCATCATTTCTTCAAGAACATTAAATACGTCTCATAAAAAATTAAAATCCAAGCTACGAGGGATCTCCCATGGAAGACGGCAAACCAAAGCTAAAGGCTTTGTTAAAATCAAAGCTTTACTCTTTCCTCTTCTTCAAAATTACTTTTTTTTTGTTTGACCGTTTTCCATGAAATCAAAGTTTTAATTTCTGGATTATGAAGAGAGAGAAAGAGAAAAATAAAGGAGAGTTTCGAAACAGAAGAAAGAGAATAATATTGTCTACAGAAGAGAGAGAAAGAAGAAAATAAAAAAGAGTTTCAAACATAGGAAATAAAATAGTATAATAAATAGTTATATGTCTTGATTATGTTGAATAGGGGTAAAATAGTAAAGAGAGCAAACGAATATACCACTAGAGGACAAAATTAGGGTATATAGCTAATAAGCATATCTTTCTTGTGTGTAGGATGCAATTACTCCATTTCTATGCCTCCAAGACCACTGGTGTAATCTCCTATCCCCATGTCAACCAAGTAATCATCTTTCAGATTAGTTTGTCTGCAATGTTACACGAGAACAGCTTAGCCTAGGAGTATAGTCCGGAACATTAATGAACTTTCAAAGGCCATTCCCAAAAACGCCTCCCCTATAAAGTCCTTTAACCTTAGAATATGATTTCACTGGATCTTGTAAGTTTCCATTGACATTGGAAACATACAGAATTTCG